AGACCAGACCCTCCTCATAATCCACAAACACACCGACCCGCTGCGGCTTCACTCTCAGAGACAGAGTGACACGAGGACCAGCAAAGGCTTTATATTTATCTCCATTCCTCAGAGCCACAGTCCAGCATCCATCACTGGGTCTCAGTGTGATCGTTCCCTTCCTGTTAATGGATTCTCTGACCACTCCTAAAATCCATTCAGTCTTTCCCTTCACCTGCACCTCAAAATAAAATTTCCCTGAGGAGAATCCCTCCTTTCCCAAAACATTTACACAGTAATCAAATCTCTCAGGTTTGTCTGGGAGTTTCTGATCAATGTCTCCATCTCTCACTTGTTTTCCATCATCAGACAGAATGAGATATGGATGAGCTGTATCAGGATCCAGAGTCACATCCACTGAGAAAACAAAAACTGAGAATATAAATCTCAACTTCACAATACAGATATTTTGTGATGCTGATGTTTTTTTAGATTTAATCCAGTGTGTAATCAGATTGTAGTGCAGTAATGAAGATGTGAGTGTATGAATGTAAACTAGTGTAGTGCAGACAGCACACTGTACCTGCATTCTGCTGCATCCACTTCAGCTCTGTAGAGACACATGGCAATAATACATAATCAGATCCTAATATTATATTTAAAGAATTGTGTACATCATCAATTTTCTATCTGAATAATGTATGTATTGATCTACCAGTTTGTGTGAGTTTCTCATCTATAGTGTCCTTCAGTTGAGTCAGAGCTCTCCTCAGAGTCTCCAGACTCTCATGAGTCTTCATACTGATCTCAGGCCAGTTCCTGCTGTTTCTAGGGCTGCACAGGGATGAGTAAATCTACAGGAGAGAGGAGAAATCCTTCAGCATGGGGAGTGTTCTGATGTTATATCCTGCATTATCATTGATCAGAGAGATCATGTTGACTGACCTGTAGGAGGTGGAGGTGATCTTCAGTGTGTGAGAGCTGCTCCAGCTCAGTGTTTCTCATCTTTAGCTCAGTGATCTCCTGCTCCAGCTCTTCAATCAGCTCTTCCTCCTGTTTCTCTGCTGCTTTCTGCTGCTCCTCCATCATCTCCAGCAGTTCAGTATAAAATCCCTAAGAAAAGAATCACTGTTACTGTTGCTCATACTTCAGTGTTTTAATGGGTTTCAAAATTCATCAACTGAAGAATAAACGTCATATTGTATCGTTTGCACTGAATGATTCCTCAAATCATGTGCCTTGTTGTGGAGAGGTGTCATATTACTAGTCATCAGTCATGTTGACATTCAGACCAATAGTTAGATTGTGAGTGTGATATTGCTTTTATACAACAATTCAGTAAACAAGATGTTATATAAGTAATGTCAGTTAATAATGTTTATATTCACTTCGACCACTGAAGGACTCAAACAAAGCCACAAATAAAGCATGGTGATTAGTTCTTGAATGAATCAGTAATTTTGAATGAATCGTTTTAAGTGAATGAATCGAAATCAATGACTCACCACTGGATCATGTCTCAGGCATTGTAAACTTTCCCTTTTCCCTTTTCCCTTTTACAATGAAGTTACAGGTCTGATGCTGGTATGTCTAATTTCAACATCTTCCTCGAAGATCGTTATTATCTCTGCTATCTTACTGATGCTAACCAGGACAGTTTTCAGCCTTCTCTTTGAGCTTCAAACACATTCCAAGAAGGAAGGGATGAATCCCCTCCATCACCATTTGGCCACTACTCTTGTGGCACAGACAAGACTCAGGACCCACAATACACATACACTCTAAAAAATGTGGGGTTGTTTCAACCCAACTTTGGGTCAAATATGGACTAACCCAACTTTTGTGTTAAAAATTTAATTAAAAAATTTAACCCAATGTCACGGGTTCACTGCTGAGCGGACTGAGGAGCAAGAAACAGAGAGAGACGAGGAGTACATCAATCCAAATGGGTTTAATTAATACAAAGGAACACGGAACACTCACGCAATACATGTAGACATAGACATTCACATACAATACCGGACGCTGGAGCACACACAGGGAACACTATTTATACACATGACAGGAGGAGGAGAGGACGAGACACACCTGGGATCAATAGACATAAAATGGGGAACACCTGGAATCAAATAAACCTAATCAAGACAGGAACAGGAAACTAACCAAATATGGGCGTAGGAAGGCACATGGGGAGCAAGACACACAAAACACGGAACAAAGTCTGACACTGTGATTGCAAAGCTGAATTCTCAGCAGAAATTACTCCAGTCTTCAATGTCACATGATCCTTCTTCCTTTCTGGGTGCTCAAGAAACATTTCTTGTTATTATCAATGTTGAAAACAGTTGTGTTGTTTAATATTTATTTATTTATTTATGGAAACTGTGATGCATTTTTTTCAGATTCTTGGACTAATAGAAAAAAGAACAGTCTTATTTTGAAATAGAAATCTTCTGTAACATTATAAATATCACTTTTTTATTTTATTTAATACATCCTTGCTAAATAAAATTATAGCTTTTTTAATTAAATGTAATAACTGAATTTAAAATATTTACAAAAAAAAAATCTTACAGACCCCAAACATTTCAACAGCACTATATATATATATATATATATATATATA